AAAATCTCTTGAAAACCTTTTCAAAAACCCTTCCAAATCTCTCAAACATTTGTTCATGGTCTCTTCCAAATCTCTTCAAAATCTCTTCATACTCTCTTAGAATTTTTCAGAATCGCTTTAAATCTCTTCAAAATCTCTTGAAAATCTCTTCAAAATCTCTTCAAGATCTCTTTAAAATCTTTTCAAAACCTCTTTAAAATCTCTTTAGAATTTTTCAGAATCGCTTTAAAATCTCTTCAAAATCTCTTCAAAATGTTTTTAAAATCATTTCAAAACCTCTTTGAAATCTCTTTAGAATTTTTCAGAATCGCTTTAAATCTCTTCAAAATCTCTTGAAAATCTCTTCAAAATCTCTTCAAGATCTCTTTAAAATCTTTTCAAAACCTCTTTAAAATCTCTTTAGAATTTTTCAGAATCGCTTTAAAATCTCTTCAAAATGTTTTTAAAATCTTTTCAAAACCTCTTTGAAATCTCTTTAGAATTTTTCAGAATCGCTTTAAATCTCTTCAAAATCTCTTGAAAATCTCTTCAAAATCTCTTCAAGATCTCTTTAAAATCTTTTCAAAACCTCTTTGAAATCTCTTTAGAATTTTTCAGAATCGCTTTAAATCTCTTCAAAATCTCTTGAAAATCTCTTCAAAATCTCTTCAAGATCTCTTTAAAATCTTTTCAAAACCTCTTTAAAATCTCTTTAGAATTTTTCAGAATCGCTTTAAAATCTCTTCAAAATGTTTTTAAAATCTTTTCAAAACCTCTTTGAAATCTCTTTAGAATTTTTCAGAATCGCTTTAAATCTCTTCAAAATCTCTTCAAAATGTTTTTAAAATCTTTTCAAAACCTCTTTGAAATCTCTTTAGAATTTTTCAGAATCGCTTTAAAATCTCTTCAAAGTCTCTTCAAAATGTTTTTAAATTCTTTTCAAAACCTCTTTGAAATCTCTTTAGAATTTTTCAGAATCGCTTTAAATCTCTTCAAAATCTCTTCAAAATCTCTTCAAGGTCTCTTTAAAATCTTTTCAAAACCTCTTTAAAATCTCTTTAGAATTTTTCAGAATCGCTTTAAAATCTCTTCAAAATCTCTTCAAAATGTTTTTAAAATCTTTTCAAAACCTCTTTGAAATCTTTTTAGAATTTTTCAGAATCGCTTTAAATCTCTTCAAAATCTCTTGAAAATCTCTTCAAAATCTCTTCAAGATCTCTTTAAAATCTTTTCAAAACCTCTTTAAAATCTCTTTAGAATGTTTCAGAATAGCTTTAAAATCTCTTCAAAATCTCTTCAAAATGTTTTTAAAATCTTTTCAAAACCTCTTTGAAATCTCTTTAGAATTTTTCAGAATCGCTTTAAAATCTCTTCAAAGTCTCTTCAAAATGTTTTTAAATTCTTTTCAAAACCTCTTTGAAATCTCTTTAGAATTTTTCAGAATCGCTTTAAATCTCTTCAAAATCTCTTCAAAATCTCTTCAAGGTCTCTTTAAAATCTTTTCAAAACCTCTTTAAAATCTCTTTAGAATTTTTCAGAATCGCTTTAAAATCTCTTCAAAATCTCTTCAAAATCTCTTTAAAATCTTTTCAAAACCTCTTTAAAATCTCTTTAGAATGTTTCAGAATAGCTTTAAAATCTCTTCAAAATCTCTTCAAAATGTTTTTAAAATCTTTTCAAAACCTCTTTGAAATCTCTTTAGAATTTTTCAGAATCGCTTTAAAATCTCTTCAAAATTCAAACCTCTTTAAAAAACTCTTTAGATCCTTTCAGATCGCTTTAAACTTTTCAAATCTCTTCAAATTCTCTTTAAGTCATCTTCAAATCTCTTCAAATCTCTTCATACTCTCTTAGAATCTCTTTCAAGAATCGCTTTCAAAATCTCATACTCTCTTAGAATTTTTCAGAATCAAGATCTCTTTAAATCTCTTAAAACAAAATCTCTTGAAAATCTCTTCAAAATCTCTCTTTATCTTTTCAAAACCATTAAAATCTCTTTAGAATTTTCAGAATCGCTTTAAAATCTCTTCAAAATCTCTTCAAAATGTTTTTAAAATCTTTTCAAAACCTCTTTGAAATCTCTTTAGAATTTTTCAGAATCGCTTTAAAATCTCTTCAAAGTCTCTTCAAAATGTTTTTAAAATCTTTTCAAAACCTCTTTGAAATCTCTTTAGAATTTTTCAGAATCGCTTTAAAATCTCTTCAAAATCTCTTCAAAGTCTCTTCCAAATCTCTTCAAAATCTCTTCAAAATCTCTTGAAAACCTTTTCAAAAACCCTTCCAAATCTCTCAAACATTTGTTCATGGTCTCTTCCAAATCTCTTCAAAATCTCTTCATACTCTCCTCAAAACCTCTTTAAAATCTCTTGAAAATCTCCAAAATCTTTTCAAGGTTTCTTCCAAATCTGTTCAAGATCTCTTTAAAATCTCTTCAAAACCTCTTTAAAAACTCTTTAGAATCCTTCAGAATCGCTTTAAAATCTTTTCAAAATCTCTTCAAAATCTCTTTAAAGTCTCTTCCAAATCTCTTCAAAATCTCTTCAGAATCTCTTGAAAACCTTTTTAAAATCTCTTTAGAAATTTTCAGAATCGCTTTAAAACCTCTTCAAAATCTCTTGAAAATCTCTTCAAAATCTCTTCAAAATCTCTTCGAAATCTCTTCAAAATCTCTTCAGAATCTCTTCAAACCCTCTTTAAAATCTCTTCAAAATGTCCAAAATCTTTTCAAGATTTCTTCCAAACCTGTTCAAGATCTCTTTAAAATCTCTTTAAAACCTTTTTTAAAACTCTTTAGAATCCTTCAGAATCGCTTTAAAATCTTTTCAAAATCTCTTCAGAACCTCTTTAAAGTCTCTTCAGAATCTCTTGAAAACCTTGTTAAAATCTCTTTAGAAATTTTCAGAATCGCTTTAAAACCTCTTCAAAATCTCTTGAAAATATCTTCAAAATCTCTTCGAAATCTCTTCAAAATCTCTCAACACCTCTTTAAAGTCTCTTCAAAATCTTCAAAATCTCCAAAATCTTTTCAAGATTTCTTCCAAATCTGTTCAAGATCTCTTTAAAATCTCTTGAAAACCTTTTTTAAAACTCTTTAGAATCCTTCAGAATCGCGTTAAAATCTTTTCAAAATCTCTTTAGACGCGCTTTAAAATCTTTTCAAAATTTCTTCAAAATCTCTTCAAAGTCTCTTCCAAATCTCTTCAAAATCTCTTCAGAATCTCTTGAAAACATTTTTAAAATCTCTTTAGAATTTTTCAGAATCGCTTTAAAACCTCTTCAAAATCTCTTCAAAAACTCTTCATAATCTCTTCAAAATCTTTTCAAAATCTTTTCAAAATCTCTTCAAAATCTCCAAGTTCTCGTCCAAATCTCTTCAAAATCTCTTCAGAATCTCTTCAAAGCCTCTTTAAAATCTCTTCAAAATCTCCAAAATCTTTTAAAGGTTTCTTCCAAATCTGTTCAAGATCTCTTTAATATCTCTTTAGAATTCCTCAATATCGCTTCAAAATCTCTTCAAAATATCTTCAAAATTTTTTTAATCACTTGAAAGCCTCTTCAAAATCTCTTTATAGTTTTTTCAAAATTTCTTGAGAGCCTTTTCAAAGTCTCTTTAGAGTCACTTCGAAATCTTCAAAGTCAAGAGGTAACGAATACAACAAAGAGGGAGAACTGTTACTGCAATTATCAGAGAGAGGATGACAAATTTGAATCGGAAATAAGAGAAGAACAGGGAGGTCTCAATTGCTTACATACTAATACATGAAAAAATACCAGAAGAAATAAAAGAATTTAGGGTAGGAACAAGGATAGGATTGGATCTCCGCCAGAAAGATGCAAAGGACGAATGGTAGACAAGATACACTGTGAAGACTAGAGAAACAAAAAGAAGAAATAGAAGAGAGTAGAGGAGAATGCAAGAAGTTGATGGCAATAACGTAATCGGTAATGAAGGGGAATGGAGAGAGAAACAGATGCAGAACAATGATGGAAAAAAAGACAAGGAGAGATATAGAAGAGGGGTTGAGACAAGAGAAAAAAGTACAAAAGAAAGTGCAAGGAAGAAAGAGATGAAGAAACAGAAAGAATGTGGAAATCAAAGAAATAAAAGCAGAGCAGAACTTCATTAGGGTACTACAATGAAAGCAGGAGAAAGAGGAGATGATAGGGTGTGGGTGGAAGAGGAGAAGACAAGAGATTCAGCAGGAATTAAAAGAGACTGAAAAAGGGGACAGAGATCGAGAAGGGTGAAATAAAAGGGTTGAGGCATGGATTTTTACCACAGATCGAGTCAAGGAGAAGGAGAAAACTAATAATCAATATGAGCACATGGGAAGAAAGGCGACTGCGTACAGAATATGCGATGGTGTGGAATGAAAAGAGAAGGTTATGTTAGAGAAAACACAAATTGGATTCAAAAAAGGGGGTGGGGGGGGGTTGCTTGTATATATGTACTACACCGACTGGTTGAAAAAGAATTGAAAATAGAAGAGCGTTTTATTTTATGGATTTAAGGGCAGCGTTTCGCAGAGTAGAAAGGGAAAGGTATGAAAAATGATGAAGGATGGGAAAATAGATGATGATTTGAAGGAAAATGGTGGGAAGAGCGGGGAAAAAAGGGGAATGAAGTTAAATGCCGAAAAATCGAAGATGTTAAGATAATGAAGAGACAATCAAGGGAATTAAGGAAAAAGGAAAAAGTGGCAGTGAGACAGGTGTGGGGAGTAAGAAAGGGGAAATTCAAAAAAGGGTTCAGAATAAGAAAATGGTGCAATGGTGAGAGGAATGCTGATTGCTGAGGTATGTAACGGAAATGTGGACTAAATAGAACAAAAGTAGAGTAGAGGAGGAAACAGAAATGGACAAGGACGCAAGGTGGTAAGATTCGAGGAAAGAGCAGAAACAGAAACTGAAATGGGGAAAGAATATTTGCGATACCTAAAAAACGTGAAAGTGTCAAGGAACACTAATGAAATTAAAAGAACAATTTTAGAAGAACCTGTCCACTCCCACCCCGTTCTACAGCCTTACTTAATTACCTACCTGGCAAGTCCCAACTAATTAAATGAGAAAGGCGCTACCCGGGCGCTACCAAGCGGATTCGGCCGAAATTTAATTAAGGGCATAATTGATGTAGGGACAAACATCCCATAATAAAATTCTAACGACGCGACGTGCCTTCTCTAAATTCGATATTTATTGAAAACGGAAACGGTTCCTGCTTTTAAAAGATCTCGGTGTTTATTTTCATTTCTGTTAAGCGTCGGCGCTGCCGAGGGTGGAATTTTCGAAAAACCGCTCGCCGCTCACGCCGAACCGAACTAGGGGGGTGTCTACCCTTATAATATAGCGCTGGGAAACGGAAACGGCACTTTAAATTGAGGTATCGTCGAAGTCGTTTGTGTGCCTGTGTCGTTTTTGTGCGATTTTTCCATCGGCAGCTCGGGAAACGTCTGCAGAGGTGAGTAGACGAAATTTTGCGCGTTGCGTAATTCGCGCGATAAATTAGTTAAACAAAGAATGGAGTGAAACCAAGTGCGAACAAATAATAACGAACCTCCGAACGGCGCGGAAAAAAAATGATAATGGCAATTGAAAATTGGTGATAATACATTTCCTGTTCCCGTCTCTATAACGGACAGACTTTGCTTTTAAATACAGCAAGGATACGGATATCCTGTTTGTGTCCTTTTATATTTGTGTTTTTATTACATATAAGCGATGGACCATTCCGGTGTATTCATTATTTGATTTTTTTTGTTATTATATGTATAGGCAAATAGTTTTCATCTTGACGCGATCCTCGATAGTCGGAAAAGCGGTTTTCCTTGCGCGACATCAGTTTCGATACTGACTCTTATTCATTTAACGGGGTGAGTTACTTTATTATATCGGAAATAAATGCATTTCAATCCATAATCCAAAAATCCCACACGAATGAAACTTCAAAAACACGTTCCCCCACAGCCCCAGTTACCATGATTTCAAAATTATAATATGCACCCCCTTCTTCTTACAGACCATTCAATTTTCTCTCTCTTGAAATTTGTCTACACTCATTAATATTATCAGGCGAATCCATTTACGTGGATATCGTCGATTGAGCCAGAGTATAGTTAATGTCGCGGTGCCCCATCTTGCCGAAACAGAAGTCACTTACTTCATTCTATATCGCTTGTAACTACATGACTTGTACTCCCGATATTTCATTGAATGCTAGAACTACGAACAGATCATATCCAGTCCGTCCGAATCTGATATTGTGCCTCCCTTTTTCTGTGAAAGAACTGTATGTCATTTATAATGCATAATTTAAGTGAGAGTAACTGGCGTTGGGGAGGTGAACGCCAAAACTAAGGTAAACCTTCCATTAAAATTGTCCCTAGCTAGCTAAATAGATGAGGGTCTGTGTTTTTTTTAATCAAAATTACTCTCAGTGGTTCGTTTTAATATGAAAGTTGCACCATTTTGTGTCCTAAGGTGTTGCAAAAAAAAACGAGCAATTTAAAAGAGTCGCGAAAAATTGCTCGTGAGCAAATTATGTTCTCACCGAATCGACAGCATAGCCTAAAATAAAAAAAAACACTTTGTGCAAAATTAGAAAAAATCAGTTTCTTAAAAGTACTTTCCATTTATTGTATTTACTACTCATGCATAGCTTCGCCTGTTATCGAACGAAGTGCCTAAACGTAGTAGCCTTTTGAGACGTTTATTAAATCGATCGATTTGCCTTTAGTAAAAGGGACTACTGTTAAAATTTCAGTAAGATCGGTCCATTAATAAGAAAGTTAGTTCTGCGCATGCGCAGAAGTATGCGGCTTACCGGTCTGAAATTTACAGTAAAACTGTAATACCCCCCAGACTCACCGGTAACACTCTCAAGATAGTTTTTGGGGGTAACATTGTCAGATTACCTTACAAGTACTGCAAAAATGTAAGACCGGAGGGGCTGGGTGGTATGGAATACCCCCCAGAAGCAAGAAGATTTAAAGATAAGATTTAAAGATAGCCCCTTTTCTATCATCCTCAGTAACCTCTTGGTGGCTTTTTGGAGGTGACACTAAACTGTCGTCTGCTGGGCAGTATTCCATACCCCCCAGACCCCCTGGTAACACTCTTGCGATAGTTTTTGTGGGTAACACAAGTAATGTTTTTTAGGTCAACCCAAAATTATCCACATTTGATCTCTTACGGTACCCAGCTTAATTACTTAAATAGTACTTTCGGCTTAGATATAACGAGGTTAGAAACCCGACGGTACATTGCCTCCACAATTTTTGTCTTCAAAATTTTACACAATTTGTTAAACTCTTCCGAATTACTTCAAGAAATTAAGCTTAAGGTACCATTTGTTAAGCTAAGGCAAAATAATACTATTTTTGTAGTTAACAACACAACTTCCCCACTTATTAAGATCTTGATCGCTTTAAATAAGTTATCCTCAGTTAATGATATCGACTTTTTTCACGATCCCCTAAATTCAATAATAAATAAAATTAGATCCTAGTCCTAATATTTGTTCAGAGCCCCAGTGCCATGTAATTGGAATTTTTATTCTGTATGGTTTCTGGTTAAATAAATAAATAAATAAATAAAACATTGTCAGATTCTCTTTGCCTTACAAGTACTGAACAAAATGTAACACCGGGAGGCCTGGGGGGTATGGAATACCCCCCAGAAACAAGAAGATTTAAAGAGTGGTGAGGGTTTAACGCCACTCATTAAAGAAAATCTCCATAGCCCCTTTTCTATCATCCTCAGTGACCCCTTGGTGGCTTTTTGGAGGTGACACTTAAACTGTCGTCTGCTGGGGGGTATTCCATACCCCCCAGACCCCCCGGTAACACTCTCGCGACAGTTTTTATGGGTAACATTGTCAGATTCTTTTTGCCTTACAAGTACTGAACAAAATGTAACACCGGGAGGCCTGGGGGGGTATGGAATACCCCCCAGAAACAAGAAGATTTAAAGAGTGGTGAGAGTTTAACGCCACTCATTAAAGAAAATCTCCATAGCCCCTTTTCTATCATCCTCAGTGACCCCTTGGTGGCTTTTTGGAGGTGACACTTAAACTGTCGTCTGCTGGGGGGTATTCCATACCCCCCAGACCCCCCGGTAACACTCTCGCGACAGTTTTTGTGGGTAACATTGTCAGATTCTTTTTGCCTTACAAGTACTGAACAAAATGTAACACCGGGAGGCCTGGGGGGTATGGAATACCCCCCCCAGAAACAAGAAGATTTAAAGAGTGGTGAGGGTTTAACGCCACTCATTAAAGAAAATCTCCATAGCCACTTTTCTATCATCCTCAGTAACCCCTTGGTGGCTTTTTGGAGGTGACACTTAAACTGTCGTCTGCTGGAGGGTATTCCATACCCCCCAGACCCCCCGGTAACACTCTCGCGATAGTTTTTGTGGGTAACATTTTCAGATTCTTTTTGCCTTACAAGTACTGAACAAAATGTAACACCGGGAGGCCTGGGGGGTATGGAATACCCCCCAGAAACAAGAAGATTTAAAGAGTGGTGAGGGTTTGCCACTCATTAAAGAAAATCTCCATAGCTCCTTTTCTATCATCCTCAGTAACCTCTTGATGGTTTTTTGGAGGTGGCAGTAAAACTGTCGTCTGCTGGGGGGTATTATCAGACTCCCCGGTAACACTCTTGCGTTAGTTTTTGGGGGTAACATTGTCACATTCTCTTTGCCTTACAAGTATTGCAAAATATGTAAGACCGGTAGGCCTGGGGGGTATGGAATACCCCCCAAAAATAAGAAGATTTGGAAGAGTGATGGGGGTTTAACGCCACTCATTAAAGAAAAACTCCATAGCCCCTTTTCTATCATCCTCAGTAACCTCTTGGTGTTTTTTTGGAGGTGGCAGTAAAACTGTCGTCTGCTGGGGGGTATTTGCTGGTAGGTATAACATACCCCCCAGACCCCCCGGTAGCACTCTCACGATAGTTTTTGGGGGTAACATTGTCAGATTCTCTTTGCCTTACAAGTACTGCAAAAAATGTAAGACCGGGGGACCTGGGGGGTATTCCATACCCCCCAGAAGCAAGACGATTTAAAGAGTGGTGAGGGTTTAACGCCAATCATTAAAGAAAAACTCCATAGCCCCTTTTGTATCATCCTCAGTAACCGCTTGGTGGTTTTTTGGAGGGGGTAGTAAAACTGTCGTCTGCTGGGGGGTATTCCATATCTCCCCAGACCCCCCGGTAACACCCTCGCGATAGTTTTTGGGGGTAACATTATCAGATTCTATTTGCCTTACAAGTACTGCAAAAAATGTAAGACCGGGGGGCCTGCGGGGTATTCCATACCCCCCAGAAGCAAGACGATTTAAAGAGTGGTGAGGGTTTAACGCCACTCATTAAAGGAAAACTCCATAGCCCCTTTTCTATCATCCTCAGTAACCTCTTGGTGTTTTTTTGGAGGTGGCAGTAAAACTGTCGTCTGCTGGGGGGTATTTGCTGG